AATATAAGATAATTGTAATTTTGTGGGTTAGTCTCTGTGTCCTTTATTCTGTACCATTGGTCTACCAGTCTGTTTTGGTGCCAATACCATGCTGTTTTTGTTACTATTTCTCTGTAGTATAGTTGTCTGGTATAGTTATACCATCTGCTTCACTCTTCCTGCTAAGGATTGCTTTGGCTATTCTGGGTCTCTTCTTTTTGCAGATGAATTTCATGATTGCTTTTTGCATTTCTATGAGGAATACAATTGAGATTTTGATTGGAATTGCATTAAATCTATATAGTACTTCTGGTAGTATGGTCATTTTGACAATATTAATTCTGCCTATCCAAGAGCAAGGTAGATCTTTCCATCTTCTAAGGTCTTCTTTGATTTCTGTCTTTAGGGTTCTGTAGTTTTCATTGTATAGATCTTTGACTTCTTCATTAAATTGATTCCCAAGTCTCTTATTTATTTATTTATTTTAGGTTATTGTGAATGGGGTAGTTTTCCTCATTTCCTTCTCAGAGGCTTTGTCACTGATATACAGAAGTGCCTTTGATTTATGGGTGTTGCTTTTATATCCTGCTACTTTGCTGAATTCATTTACTAGTTCCATAAGTTTTCTGGTGGAGTTTTTTGGGTCTTCTAGGTATGAATCATATTGTCAGCAAATAGTGCTAATTTAAGTTCTTCTTTTCCTATACATACCCTTTTAATTTCTTTAGTCTGTCTAATTGCTCTGGCCAGTATTTCAAGAACTATGTTGAATAGAAGTGGTGAAAAACAGATCAGCAGAAAAAGCAGTAGAAAGCAAGAAATAATTAAAATTAGAGCTGAAATCAATGAAATTGAAATGAACAAAACAATGGAAAAAATTGACAAAACAAAAAATTGGTTCTTTGAAAAAACAAATAAAATTGACAGACCCTTAGCCACGCTAAAGAAGAGAAGGAGAGAGAGAACTCAAATTATCAGCATACGTGATGAAAGTGGTAATATCACAACAGACACTATAGAAATAGAGAGGATAATTAGGATTTATCTTGAAATCTGATACTCCAGTAAAATAGAAGACATTGAAGGCATTGACAAATTTCTTAAGTCATATGATTTGCCCAGATTGAATCAGGAAGATATACACAATTTTAACAGACCAATACCAAGTGAGGAAATAGAATATGCCAATAGAAGCTTACTAACCAAGAAAAGCCCAGGACTGGATGGATACATAACCTAGTTCTACAAGACTTTAAGGAAGAACTAATACCAATACTCTTCAATTTATTTCAGGAAATTGAAAAAGAGACAGTAATTCCAAACTCATTCTATGAGGCCAATATCATCCTTATTCCCAAACCAGACAAAGACACATCAAGGAAATAAAACTTCAGACCAATATCTCTAATGAACATAGATGCAAAAATTATCAATAAAATTCTGGCAAATCGAATACAAAAACATATTAAAAAGATTATGCACCATGATCAAGTGGGATTCATCCCAGGTATGCAAGGTTGGTTCAACATATGGAAATCAATAAATGTAATTCCTCACATCAATAGACTTAAAGATAAGAATCATGTAATCATCTCAATAGATGCAAAAAAAAGCATTTGACAAAATACATCACCCCTTTATGTTCAAAACACTAGAAAAACTAGGGACAACAGGCACATATTTCAACATTGTAAAGGCAATCTATGCTTAGCCTCAGGCCAACATCATTCTAAATGGAGAAAAATTGAAGGCATTCCCTCGTACAGAAATTTTCTCAGATGTGTTTTTTTTTTTATTTTTTAGTTGTTGATGGCCCTTTATTTTATTTGCTTATTTGTATGTGGTGCTGGGAATCAAACACCGTGTCTTACACATACAAGGCAAGTGCTCTACCACTGAGCTACAACTCCAGCTCTTCAGATGTGTTTTTAAATACCAGCTAAAGCTATTTAATAATGGTCATGGAGTCCTCAAATAAACAATAATTTAAGCTTATTTTACTAGATAACTACTGGAAAAGGGTGCATATTTCCATTTATCTGACAATTTAAGTTTGAGGATGCCAAGATGCCACCCTCATGCCCTTTATACTCTTGATTCTGCTGCTAATCAGAGAAAGAAGGGACAGGGGTAAGTGACTTCTTGTGTCCCTCTGATGCTCAGAGCATACATTTTTTTTTAATATTTAGGGAAGGGTTAGAAATTAAAGGAGATTTGCAGAATTCAATTTATGATCAGAAATAAACTAAACGAAATGTCCCAAGGTATCTCATTGTGTGAAGAGGTAATAAAGTGAGTTATTCCCAAGAGAACCCAAGGGAATATCTTGTTTACATCAACTCTCAGGACCTCAATCTTTTAACAGTTTCTCTTAGAAAAAGATTCAGCTCAGTGTTGGTGCTTGAAAAATAAGTGTTTTCTTTCAGCAAGAATACAGCAAGAGTTTGGAATAGAAACTAGTGCAAAATCCATTTTGTCAGGAGAGAAGGTTGAATGTCCCTGAGACTGTTATCTGTGCATCTACAGCTTAGACCTCTGGATCTCTAGTATATTAATGTGAACTCCTCTCATTCATCGTTCCCCTGCCCTAAAACAAACTCATCCCAGGCTCCAGGTAAGGAGGAAGATGGTGAAGTGACCAGAAAGGAAGATTTTGAAAGAAATAAGATTCTCAAAAAACAGATTCTTGGGTGTATCCTGAGAAAAGGCTAAATCTTTATTTTTACAGCTAGTCTATTTGGGAGAGGAGATTTTTCTTTTTCCAATTTTCTCGAGAATCCTCAACCCTAGAAATCTTGCTACTGGACTCTTCATGAGGGGTTGAGTTTAAGTACTAAGAGTTTTGAGAAACCAAAAGTATAATTTTCCTCAAACTAGTTATGCCTTTCCATACTCTCCCTATTGTCTGGTCTTGATTCAGTCCTTTCAACATTAGTGTTTTCTTCCTCTTCCTCTTTCACTTTTCTTTTCTTTCTTTTTTTTTAGTACCAGGGATTGAAATCAGGGGCACTTGGCCACTGAGCCACATCCCCTGCCCTATTTTGTATTTTATTTAGAGACAGGGTCTCATTGAGTCGCTTAGTGCCTTGCCATTGGTGAGGCTGGCTTTGAACTCATGATCCTCCTGCCTCAGCCTCTCGAGCCACTGGGATTATGGATGTGAGCCACTGGGTCCGGCTTCTTTCACTTTTCTTGTAATCTCTTCTTGGGATGAATCACTAAACTCACAGGGCTCTGCCTCAGATGTAAGACAGAGCTTCTTGACATTGGTCACCCATTGTCTGGGAAGTGGGAAGGAGCCAGCGTTTGATGAGCACTAATGTGGCTGTGAGGGTACTTCAAGTACCAGTACCAGAGTCTTCCAAGGCCTCAATACTCTTTCTCTGGGGTTAGAATGAGAACTAGAAAAGACTTGCAAATTTAGGGTCTCTTCCTCTTTTCACTTAAAACTGCCAGTGATGCACTCTCACCTAGGTATGTACCCCAGATGATATTACCCTGTGATTTTCCTTATTGCATGATCTCTCCATTCCAAGGAGATCAACTAGCTGGACCCGCATCAGCTCTGCTTTTTAAATTTCCTACAATGCTTTAGATGGAATGAATAGTGCTTAGTAATACTAAGAAAGTCATGTGTGACATTGCCTACATGGGGAGTAGGAGTCCATTCATTCCCTCAAAGCCAAAGGACTCTCTGGCAAATTAAGCTAGACTAAATTCAGACTCAATCTAAATGAAAATTCTTTAATAGAAACTTGTCATCCTGTGGACTTGAAATCAAGTCACACTTGGCAGCTCATGAGCCAGTGGTCCAGTCACAATGGTTCACACTCTTTCTATACTGCCAGTTAGACATAGGGTCTTGTGTGAGAGGGAAAACCTTACATGTTTGAAGTCTTGGACTACCCTCTATCTTAAGATGGTCCTGCCCAGAGGGCTGACTTTCTGCTCCAAACATCTCTATCCTAAAGGGTAGTTCTAAGACGAGTATTTCAATCCTTCTCAGGGATCTCACTATACCTCTGAGTCCCAGTCATCTGCTACCTTCTCTGATTCTTTCTATGATTCACTTATCCATTAACTTGGATCCTGTCATATGTTCTTTGTTGCACGTGTACAGAAAAATAGAGACTTTGAATAGTCTGACTTGCTTCAGAGCATCAGACCAGTGCCTGATTTCCTACCAATGCACCCAACCAGCTGACTGGACATTCTGAATGAAACTGCAGCATGAATGATGTCACACACTGATAAGACATTACAAGTATGCGGACAGTTGTTGTGGCTGCATGTGTTCTTCATGAAGGTCCCCACAATGTGTGGTGTTGCTGTGGCTAGTCGTCTCTTTATAGTTTTAGCTCCACTACAGAGGACCCTACCTGCCTTACCCTTGAGCACCATCATCACAATCAAAGATTATTTCTCTGATCCAATGAAGAATTTAGGAAAGGACAAGGACTGTGGATCATAGCACAATGGAAACTGTGTATTAATTGCCTTTTAGTGGGGGAAGGTGTGCTTGTATAGATGATAAATAATCCACTGGAAAAAATGTAAAAGTTGATTATTTAAATCTGCTATGTGATGAAATTAAATGTAAGTTCTGTGCTGTAATCAGTAAACTAGAAAGTAAACTATAACTGGGGCTTTCTACTAGAGGGACAATTCCTTTCATTGTTTCAAATCCATATATAATATGCTCTTTTTCTTTGCCTCAGATGAATAACATGAATTTTCCAAGAAGATATTTCCTAGTATTATTTACACAATTGTCAAACAGCAGTTATGATTTATTTACTCTCCCAGCAAGGATCACCAAGAAGGCATAATGCTGGTGTAACTGTACCTACCAACCAAAGGGCTCCAGGTGAAATATCAGGATGGGAAATTAGAAAATCCAGTGTCTTACATGTTTACAAGAATTTAAAAAATCAAGTACATTTGTTCTTCCATGAAAGACTCACTTACTGGATTGGATGTCCCATCATAGTCAATGTTTGATGGTTCAAATCTGTAGACAGGCATAAATATCCATGGGCAGAGAAAACAAAACTTATCTGACTGAATTCATCTTGCTGGGCCTTTCTTCAGATCATCAGACCCAGATCCTGCTGTTTGTGGTATTTCTCATCATCTATCTGCTAACGGTGTTTGGGAATCTACTTATCATACTCCTAATTCACATTGACTCTCAGCTTCATACACCAATGTACTTCTTCCTCAAAAATCTGTCATTTACTGATTTCTGTTTCTCTACAACTATTGTTCCTAAGATGCTATCCCATTTTCTGGTTATAAGAAAGACCATTTCATTTATTGGGTGCTCAACTCAGATGTTTTTCTTTCTAGTAATGGGGTGTACTGAAAGTTCACTTTTAGCAGTGATGTCCTATGACCGCTATGTGGCAGTCTGCAAGCCCCTGCACTACTCTGCCATCATGACCCACAGGGTTTGTGTTTTGCTAGTCATAGGGTCTTGGGTTAGTGGAGTATTTGTATCTTTAGTAGATACCACTTTCACTTTATGTCTCCCATACCAGGGGCCAAATATAATTAATCATTACTTTTGTGAGCCTCCTGCTCTTTTGAAACTGGCATCTGAAGACACCTACAAAGCGGAGATGGCTCTCTTTGCAATGGGTGTAATAATCCTCCTAGGTCCTGCCTCTCTCATTCTTTTCTCCTACAGGAATATTATCTCAACTGTGATTCAAATACAGTCAGGGGAAGGGAGGCTTAAGGTCTTCTCTACCTGTGGTTCCCATTTTATTGTGGTTATCTTCTTCTATGGGTCAACAATATTTACTTACATGCAGCCAAATTCAAAGAAAATGAATGAAGGGGATAAGGTGATCTCAGTGTTCTACTCAGTCATAACTTCCATGATGAACCCATTTATTTATAGCCTAAGGAACAAGGATGTGAAGGAAGCTTTAAGGAGAGTAATTAGAAGATAGAACCTATTAGTGGCAGTGATCTTTCCATTGGTATATAATCAGGGGTATGAAGACATTAGAAAGTTCTCCATTTTCAACAGGTTTTATTCTGAATGATCTCTCATCTGAGACATCACCCAATGCGTACATGTCCTTTTACCCATCTATGAATATTTCCCGGTTCGTCTACTTGCAGTCATGCTAAAGCTTTATTCTCTATGACCACTGCTCATTTGCGTGGTGACAGCTTATTGATTAATATATATATTTATTTTATTTTATTTTTTTATTTTTTATTGTTGGTTGTTCAAAACATTACATAGTTCTTGATATATCATCTTTCACACTTTGCTTCAAGTAGGTTATGAACTCCCATTTTTAGCCCATATACAGATTGCAGAATCACATCAATTACACATCCGTTGATTTACATATTGCCATACTAGTGACTGTCATGTTCTGCTGATTAATATATTAAAATATTTTAAATAGTGAACAAGGTTTCTATTTATGTGGTCTTATTGGTGCACCAATCCATTTTCATACGGGGATATTTCCTTTGGCTCTAAGCTCTACAACTACTTGCTAAACTCATGCCAGTACCATCCATAGCCACTTATGCATCTTAAAATCCTGACAAATATTAAAAGACCAGATTCCACAATTTCCTGTAAGAAAAATGTCAGTGATTTTTGTTCCATGAAACTCTGATAGTAGGATCATTTAAAAAATATCTGTAGAGGTCCAAACTACTGTTATAGACAATCCAACCACAATTGGAGAGAACTGTTAATGTAGATAACAAGGTCTAGCAACAGACTTTAATATCTCACACACTGTCTCTCTCTTAGGATAATTGCTGGCTTGAGGAAACAAGAATTGAGAACAAACTTCCTATACCAGAACTGTCATGTGAAAAACCCTGTGATATCACAGTACTCCACAGTTTCTCTTCCCTCTGACATGCTCACCTCTCCTCTGTAGATTTTGCCACTATCCATTAAGATCTCTGTGGGAAGTGGAACTGAATGGCTGACATATAAGGGGAAATATTGGAGTTTGTTTTGTGGGATGAATTAGTCCCTTTAGCTTTTTCTAAATATTGTTATAACAATATGGCAGAAGCACCACTGATAACATACCTGCAGCTACTTGCTGTCCCCGCTTTAGAAGAAAATCCAGTTGTCTTATTCACCAGACTCAACTGAATGTGTCACTATAGGTGTGAAGTAGAATAAATCCAATATCTCATTGGTATGCAGGAATTCTACCAATTCCCATTCTGATTGCAGGGCCTATGGGTCATGAAAACATAGCAGTAGATCATGTCAGTGCTAGCCATTTTCCCCCATGGTTCTCTGTTTCTCTTGGTGAAAGTCTTATTGCACAAGCATCCCTTAGTTGTACTTCCTTTCCCAGATTTACACATATGCCACTGGCTTGTTCTATCTTTCTACCATGGAGAAGGATTCCCTTTGTGGGGAACCTTGGCATGAGGAGAAGAGTGCTGCTCATCTTGCCCAACCCTCCTTTCATGAAGTGGGAAGAGTCTAGAAACACTTTATTATTTTGCAGGAAGTAGTTTACACTTGGAGTTCACCTCTCACTTTGTGAAGTTTTATTAACAAATGTACAAACAGCAATTAGAGTAAAGGATGACATAGGGTAGAGAAAACAAGAAAGTCCTGATGAAATCAAAGTTCACCACACTGACATCTGGCTGCTCTGCTTCAATACCCCTGGCTTGCCCTTCATATCCAATGCTCTTCATTCTCTGTGTTGAATGTATTGTGTATAGAATGGGAGATCAAATGTGAAAGGATGGATTCACTACACAAGCATGATGTGTAGTATTTTTAGATAACATGAACAAACATGATCCTATACAAAGAAATACACAGTTGGTGAATTCAGCATGCTGCTTTCATCAGACACTGAACCATTTCTAAATATTGGGGAAAGCAAGAAAATTCAACTAAAGAACATTAAAAAACATAGATCTATTAGCCCAAAGCCTATATAATTAAATTATGAATTTATATATAATATAATATTTATATTTCTTTATTTTTTATTAGAGCATTATAGTTCTATATAGTAGTTGAGTTTATCCTGAGAAAATCACACATGCATGGAATTCAGTTTCAGTTCACATTCCTCTCCTTTTCCCTTTTCTAAAGTATTAAAGCAGCATTTTTTTTTGGTGGGCAGGGAGGGGCGGTGGGTACTGGGGACTGAATTCATGGGCACTCTGTCGCGACCCCTTGCCCGCAAGGAAGACGCAACTCAGGAATCTTCTTTCAGCAGTTTATTCAGGCCCTTGATATTTCTTCTTCTCCCTCTCTGATGCCCCTCCCAGCCTTAATAAAGCATCCCAAGCCCCAATGCAAAGCTGCCGCGTGGAGCTTTCTCACAGGGTGGTGAAAAATCATGTGCCAACTTTCCCAGATAAGAAGTTGTTTGTCACAGACCACAGCGGAGCCAGCGCCATCTTGTAATGGCGACCATAATCTGCAGAAACGGCAGAAGCGGCTCACCACAGTTCCCCCTTTTCTGTTTTCTTAAAACAATACAGGCGAGAGTAGAGGCCCTATCCCACTGTGCAGAAGTGGCTGCATAGTATGACTCAGTCCTAAGGAGGGCCCTTCCCCAGATCTGAGGCCATATCAGCCGACGCCTTTTTTCGTGGGGCGGGGCGTGAACGCGTCTAACCCGCATGCAATAGGACATGCTCTCCTTGAGGTCCACGTCAAGGATCACTCAAGTGCAGTGCCTTGCCTCGCATCCTGTATCGTGACGATGGTGGACGAAGGGGGATAGCTGAGGCTGAACTGTGGCTGTTTATAATGACAAACAAGTTGACAGCACCCTGAAAGAAAGGCACGGACTTTAAGGCGATAGAAAAGCACTAGTGTGGAAACCCATCTGCGTGCAATGGCAGTAAGACCGGCAGAGTGCAAGGGCTTTCCAACACTAAGAGAATAACAAGGAAAGTCATGTCGATCCCAGTGCAATGTTATAATAACTTGGGGTGTAACGACCATGACAAAGGTTTACTGCTTAAGATGCGCAAGCCAGACTTGAGGCGAGTTGCCATTTTCTAAAGCTGCAAGAGCTTGTATGATCATAGCCTTTTCTTGTGCATGGCGAGTTTTAAGGCGACAGAGAAGCCACAAACAAAGTACAACACCGAAGCAACACATAGCACCAAAAATGCCCACTCCCACCCATTCCTTAAAAAAGGAAAAGGCAGAGGATAGCCAACTGGTGAATTGACCCAAAGTCACTGGTTCGACACGGGTACTGTTCAAGACAGCTATCTGGGTTAGTTGAGACTGGATCATGTTTTCTGCTTCCATGGACCAGGTTCCGGATGAATATTCTCCGATGATGCGGGAGGCATTTCTGGAATTATTAAATCTGACAGAGGTTATACATAAATGTGCACGTTGATCAATACAACCCAAATGTACTAGGTCAGACAATTCCTCAACTTGAGCTTGAAGCAGATCTATCCTTTGATTAGCAGCTAGAATCCCAGATAAAGTGTGTTGATTAATTCTACTTTGAGATTCAAGTATGGTGGATGTTTGTTGAATAACCTGATTAATAGTGGCAGCAGTTTGTACCTGGCTGGCCATGGCTACTCCAGCTGTAACTGCTGCAGCAGCAGATACCGCCACAGCTGTCACCATAGCTGCCGTAATTCCAAAATCTCTACGGGCTCTAATCAGTTCAACAATAGGAAATGACTCTGGATCTGAAGTAACCGGGATCGGGACAAAGGTTGGAAATTTCATAACCATTGCCGTAGTCCAGGAGCCATTCCAACACTCAGACAAATAACAGGTAATATTAGAACAATTAAGCATCCCCTGTGATGTAACATTAGCCAAAAGAAACAGGAACAGAGATTGGAGACGGACTGCTGCGGAGGGTAATGTAGCATTAGATAATTGTGAATTATTTGCAGAAATTTTAAGCCTCCTACCTCGCTCCGAGTCTTGGGTACTGCCAGAAACATTAAACAGCCAACTTTGGACTCCTAATATTTCCCTGGGGAAACACAAGCACGGACTAGACTAGCCCAATCTGAGGGAGTCATGCAAAATCTAGTAAGTCCCTCCACCTGAGTGAGAGTGAAAGCGGCATCTATGCCATAAGTGCGGACAGATTCTGCCAAGGTTTTAATTATCTTAAAGTCTAAAGGCTCATGATATCTTCCCCTGTTATTGTCCTGAAATACAGGGTATGCAAGTCCCATATCTGTATTAACTGTCCTCCAAACTTGTGCATGAAAAGATCTCCCGGAACCTTGGCTCCCCCCACATACGGAGGTGGGGCAATCGGCACCATATCTTCTTCTAGATATTCTACCTCCTCCTCCTCAGAGTTTTGTTGACCGATGTTAACTCCCTTCCCCTTCTTACAGTAGGCCTGTGTGCCCTGTGTCTCCTTTTTCTTCTTTTTCATTTTTATCTTATGTAGTTGTTGTAACAATATATCAAGGTCCTCAGAACTCTCTGAGTCGCTTGTGTTCTCAGGCGTTTTTAATTCGGTCAAGTCTGGGTAGAGCCTTCTCCTATTTTTATCTTCAGGCTCTTTTGCCTTCTCACTACTGTTACTTTTAATACTCTCTGCCACTTCACTACATGATCCTTCAGATTTTTCCTCATGCAATTGCTCAAGAATAGCTTGACCCTCTCTCACAGCTTCCTGGCATTTACCATCTGTAAGGCAACCACGGACCATTTTCCAAAGGGGTATCACCCCACCCTCTAATATGCCCTGCTCAGAAGCAAAGTCAAGATCTTTGCCTAATTTATCCCAACTAGGCACAGTAAGGCTGCCCGAAAATGCAAACCACGGTGCAGCGATATCTATCTTCTGTAAAAATCTCTGTAAAGTACTATGTTTCACTTCCAGTCCCTTGGAACGTAACAGGCCATCTAGGGCCAGGAGAAGCGGACTTGAAGATGCGGCACCCATGACACAACAACAAAGGAAGCACAAAAAACAGA